AATTTTGATTTAAAAAATATATGATTTTATTCTGATTAAAAAAATATATTTAAGTTTAACAAAATTAAAGTTAATGTTTGGGTTTAACTTAACTTTCAAATTTATTTTAAAATATTACTAAATATTGTTCAATATTTAAATTTTATTTATTCTTAAAAAAAAATTAGCTCATTTTTATCTCAATTATTATTTCAAAGTTTTTCTTCCTAAATCTAAAAAAAAAAAGTCTCTTCCCCCTCAGCGAAAAAAAAATTAGCTCATTTTTATCTCAATTATTATTTCAGTTTTTCTTCCTAAATCTTTCCTTTTTTTTTATTTTACTAAAAATCTTATTCCTTATAAACGTGTTCTGAGGCTGCATTAAAAATTTGCACAAAATGTATGTAAAACTTTTTTTTTATAACGCAATTTAAAGTTTATGCGGTAGTGGTGTAGTGGTAGAGCGCTCGCTTCATAAACGAATGGTTCCGAGTTCGATCCCCACCACGTCCCTGGTAGTACCGCGCTCAACTCGTTTCTCCGCGCAGCGGCTTTGCTCGTCAAGGTTCGTGTTTCGGAGTTATAGAGTTGAGAGAGGGTTATAACCACAAATAAGTAGCCTCCTCGTCTGTAGTGGCCTTCTCGGCCTTGAGGAGGTGAATTAAAATAAAAAAAATAAAAAAAGTGCAGCGATTATTGTATGGAAAAATATTCTTTGCATTTAAAACAAAATAAAGTTGATAAAAAACTTTTAATAAATAAAGTAAATAAATTAACTTTTTTTTTTTTCTATTGGTTACTCACTAATTTTTTGAGAAAATTTAACAAATTTTGTTTAATTCTCTCAACATTACAAGAGGGAAATAAAACTCTATTATTCTAACATCACATTTTATAAATTTGAAATAAAAAATTTGTTAGTTATGAAATTTAACCATGTAACTTGTATTTTTAGGCCTTGTTCAGGCCTGGCTAGGAAGGCATGCGATTTCAAGTCTTTATATGACCATGCAAATAATATTTTGTTTTGATGATTTAACACGGTTTTTAACAAATGCGCTAAAAAAATTGGTTATTAATTATGTTGAAAATAAATAACCTTAACACGTTTGTCTTTAATAACATTTTTATATTAGTAAAACACTTTTAAACAAAGTAGCATATGATTTTAGTTAAACTAAATATACATCATACAAAGTTGTATAATGCAACAACTGCACAGCAAAGGTCTCTTTAACCAACTTTATATAAGAATCATTAAAATATGTTAAAATCATTAAATATAGTTGAATACTCAACTCAAAACAATTTAGAAGTGTTATTATGTGATAATGTTATCAAATGTTTTCTTAGATTGCATTTTTTGAAAATATAAAAATATTTGTTTATTTTCTTGACATTTGACACAATTATGTTATGTCTATAACTAAATAAATAAAATAGAAATTGTTTTATTTTGTATTCAAGTTTTGCAAGTAACAATTATTTTTCATTCTTCAAAAGTCACTGATTAATAAAGTCCCTGAGCTGCATCTGTCACGTAATAAAATTATAAATCAATTATATAGCCTGTATTGCATAAATCAATTATATAACCAAACAACTTAAATTTATTAGTCAAGCTAAGTTAGTTAAAAGTAAAGTTTTTTGAAGTAATGTTTTTTTGACGGTTGTTGCTGTATTACCAATACCTTAATAATGTAACTTTAAATCTAAGGTTGACTAAATAAATTCACATACTTATAAGATTATTTTGCTTAAATTAATTTTTTTTTAATTTTTCTTCTGTAGCTGAATATTTTGATTATTTGTTATTTCAGGCTTGGACAGGAATGGCGTGCGATTGCACTCTGTAACTGACCACGCTAATATTTTTATTTCTTTACAACTTGACCACGGCTATTTTGATGTTTTAACAATTTAAATAAAAAATGTGTTACGTTATAAATATCTTTTACTCCTTGATCTTTTCTAAAGTTTTTCATTTTAAGCAAAGACTTTTAATAAAACCATAACATTAATTATAGTTATTGTTTACATAAATGCTTGTGTAAATTAATAAAAAACGTTACAAATTATGTAGGGATTTATTTTTTATGATAAATTTAAACGTTTGGAAACTATTTTCTTATGTCTTCCTAAAACATTTTTAAACCATTATTTTTAGAAAGAATTTTTTTAAGTTACTTTAATTTGTGAATAAGTTCAAAAGCTTTTGTGACTACTAACTTTTACACATTTTATGTGAATTACACAAGAATATAAAATAACTTTATTTACTTATATAAGCATGTATTTTGTTGATTTAATGAAAAAGTTTTAAAGCATTTTGTAATGTTCATACGATTAATTTTAATGATTAAACTTACGATTTTTAAAAATGTTTGAAATAAACATTTTATTTTTTGTAAACAATTTTTTTTTTTTTTTTTTTTTTTCAATTTCGTTAGAAATGAGTTTTAACCTTTTATAATAATTTTTAAATTTGTTATGTGAAGCGCTAGTTAATAAAATTGTAATGCTCAAATTAAAGTTAAATTAAAAAGCTTGTCGGCAGTTAATTTATTTAAATATTAGGCGCATTTTATTTATTATTATTATTTTTTCTTCTGTTTTTACGAATAAAAAAGTTCAAAATCTTTTTTTAAATTAGACTCACTAGTTAGAGCATGAAATTAGTAAAAATTACTATTTTAAAAAGACTACGTTATTTTTTTAAACTATTTTTTTTTTTGCAACTTTTTTGACAAAATAAATGTTTATACAATTTAAAAATATTATATAAAACACTTTTAAATAAATTTAATAAAATTTGTTCTTTTATTAAACCAATCATTAGTAGTAATTTGTTACTTAGTTTAAAAATGTTTGGCGTAACTTTAATGACACTTAAAAAGATGAGTTTTAATAACATTTATTTCATACGTAATTTAAAACGTAACTAAAAATTTCGCTTCGAGTTTAAGTTTTTATTTTCATTTTAAAGCTTATATAATTTCTTTTTTCATTAGTTTTTTTTTAATTTTTTTCCTAGTTTAAGTTTAGCTTAGCGTTTCTACATTCAGAACATTTCTGAAATTTATAACTCATCAAAACATATAAACATTGTTTATTAAACAATCATGGTCAAGTTGTCAAAAAATAAAATCATTTGCTTGGTCAATATTATACAAATAAGTATTACCAAAAAAAATGTTTTTAGTATTATGTAAATAGCATATGTAAAATCATTTTTTGCAGATACAAAATACTCTACAATTGATGCTTTATCACAAATATATATATATATATATATATATATATATATATATATATATATATATATATATATATATATATATATATATATATATATATATATATATATATAATGTCTTGTCAGGGCTTGACAAAAAAAAATTTTGTTTTTGTTTTAAGATTTATTTTAATAATTATTAGTGAACATCTACAGTATTCTTTGTAGGCTGGCATTCACAATTTTTTTATTATTTATTATATTTATTGTTTATGCAATTTTTATTTGCTATTTCAATTAAAAAATAACGGGAAAACAAATGTTTTGTTTTAATTCTAAATAAAATAATTAAAATTAAAAAAAAAACGACAAACTGAATGTTTTATTTTATTTTTAAATAAGATAATTAAAATAAAAAAGGCAAAATAAATTAAAAAAATAAGGAAAAGCGAACATTTTATTCAATGATGTTAGGCGTTGGTCTTGGCCTGGCTTTAAGGCCAAAAATTTAGGCCTTTGCCTCGGCCTTGGCTTTGAATATGTTGGCCTTGGCCTTGGCCATGGTATTGAAAATTTTGGCTTTTGCCTTGATTGTTTTGGCCTTGGTCAAAAAATATATATATATTTTTATTAATTTTGTTGAATTCTGCACATAAACATGGTCTATTTTTATAAAATGTGGTTTTATTTTCACAGTACTTGCTACTTACAGTTTTGTGAAGAATTGGCTTTAACGTATTGCAAAAATTAAAGTCGTAAGTCTAAAAAAAACTTTATGTACGTCTTGGCCTTGAAACTCCTAACCTTGGCCTTGACCTCAAAACTCTTGGCCTTGTCCTCAAAACTCTTGGCCTTGTCCTCAAAACTCTTGGCTTTGTCCTTGGCCTTGTAACTTTTGACCTTGGCCTTGCCCATGTAACTCTTGGCCTTGGTCTTGCTACTTTTGTCCTTGTTAACAACTCTGGTTTTATTTAAACTCTAAAAAATATACTTATTTAAAAAAAAACAAACAGAAAATCAAATGTTTTTTTAAAACTTAATTAATTTTAAAAAAATCAACAAATGTGTTATTTTAATTATAAATAAAATAACTTGAATAATTACGGTAAAGCAAACGTATTAATTCCATCTAAAATAATTAAATTTAATTATAATTAAAATAAAATGGAAAATAAGCAATTTTTTTAATTATAAATAGAATAATTAAAATAAAAATGTATAATAAACATTTTATTTTGTAATGTAGTAAGAGCTTTAAAAAAAAGATTTTTTAAAAAACTTGTTCAATATTCATTTTAAAAATAAGTTAATTATATTTCAAGAATTAAAAGTTTGACAGAAAAATAAAGCATTTGTTGTAGTTAAAAAAGAAATCGAACTTTTGTTGCAAGCACTTATTTAAGATAAGCATCCTGGTTAAAATGGAAGACTACATCTAAATCAAATGAAACATTTTTTACTAAAAATTGTTACGTGCGTTTGTAAAAACAGAATGTTTTAGCTGGTTTCTTTCCATTTCTTTAAAAAATAAAACAATTGATAGTGTAAAATAAATATTTAATAACAAACTTAAAAACAAAAAACCTAAAATCCTATGTTAGTTTTTTTGATTTTTCATCAAATGTGTCAATGTTAAAGTAAATAAAAATTAAATTGAAAAACTTGATGTTCCCTTGACATGATATATATTTATATATCATGTCAAGGACGTGATATATAAATGACCTTGACATTATATATATTTATATATCATGTCTATATTATATTATTATTATATTTTATTTAGGAGATAAAGATGGTAGCAAAGTAACTAGTGTTTTGGCCACAACTGCCTCGTACCCTGATCAAACTGAAGAGATAAGTTATTGTGACACTAAAGTTATTGGAAATGGCTCATTTGGTGTTGTATATCAAGCAAAAATTGTTGATAGCACTGATATGATAGCAATTAAAAAAGTACTTCAAGATAAACGTTTTAAAAACAGGGAGTTACAGATATGGCGTAAACTGGATCATTGTAACATTGCAAAACTGCGTCATTTTTTTTATACTAATGGAGAAAAAGTATGTTTATTTTGTTTATGATAGTGAATAGTTTTAATATTTATCTTTGTATTTATACAAAATAAAATAAATATACATTTAGTTTTATTTTATATACTGCTGTAAAATCAACCCAGATGTTGTATATTATTTCTTCTTATTCTGTAACCTCAGGGTTTCCTCAAGGTTCAATCCTTGGCCCTATACTCTTTTTAATTTACATTAACGATCTTCCAGATATTCTCACATCTAAGGTGGCATTGTTTGCTGATGATACTACCATTTATTCTTGTCACAATAAGAAGCCAACTCCCGCTGATTGCTTGCAGGGGGCATCTGAGCTTGAAAAGGATCTCACTTCTGCTACAGCATGGGGCTCACAGTGGCTGGTGAACTTTAATTCAGATAAAACTCAATTTTTTTCAGCCAATCGTTATCACAATAATTTAGACCTTCCTATATTTATGAACGGTAATGTACTCAATGAGTCTCCTACCCTTCATCTTCTAGGATTAACTCTTACTTCTGATCTTTCTTGGAAACCTTATATCAAATCCGTTGCAAAATTTGCATCTGCTAAAGTTGCATCTCTTTATCGAGCTCGACACTTTTTTACTCTGGATTCTATTCTCTATCTCTACAAATCTCAAATCTTGTATGGAATACTGTTTCCATATCTGGGGCGGATCTTCTAATGATGCCCTTTCTCTTTTAGACAAGGTGCAAAAACGCATTGTAAACATAGTTAGACCTGCTCTTGCAGCCAACCTTCAACCTCTGTCACATCGTCGTAATGTTGCTTCTCTTCCTCTTTTCTACAAATACTGTAATGGGCACTTCTCTAAAGAGCTAGTGTCTCTTGTGTCATCTACTAAAATTCATTCTTGTGTTACTCGTCATTCAGTTAAGTCTCATCCTTTTTCTGTTACTGCTCCTAAGTGCTCCAAAAACTCTTACTCGTCTAGTTTTTTTTCCTCGAACATCAGTTCTTTGGAATTTGCTTCCTTCATCTTGCTTTCCTGATTCATATAATTTGCAATCTTTTAAATCGTCTGTCAATTGTTATCTTGCTCTACAATCTTCATCTTTTCTCTTCCAGTAACTTCCAACACTAATTAGTGGTTGCTTGCAGCCTTGTTGGAAGCAAAGATGTTTTGAAAAAAAAATGTTATTATTAAGGTTATTATTATATACCTAATATATATATAGTATCACAATCATATAAGGTATTCATAATTTAAATATAAAATAACACAGTATCATATATCAAGCTTTAAAGGGGTAATGTTTTATTAGTTCAGCTGACTGTTATTATGACAATATCAACATGTTTATTTTCATTTTTAATGTAGTTTTTAGTTGTAGTTCTGTTTAATGTAGTTCTTCTAATTTTTAATGTAGTTTTTAGTTGTAGTTCTGTTTAATGTAGTTCTTCTAATTTTTAATGTAGTTTTTAGTAAAAAATTACTTTAGTACTTGTTCATTGTAATTTGTATTAGAAATATTATTTGAAATAATATTTTAGAATGAATATATGCTTTAGTTTCACCCTGTCTTAATATATTTTGCATTTTTTTATTTATTTTTTTTATTTTTAAATTGCCGACCTTTCCTGACTAGACTATTTAGTGCAAAGACAAAAACTGATCTTTTTAAGTAATGCTGGAGCGGTATGGACACTTAAAGAAAAACCCCTAAAAATATTTATTATTTTTATTTTGCTTTTTTTATTAAAAAAAAATAAAAAGTTTTTATTTTATCTAGTTTTTTTTTTTTTTTTTTTTAGGACAATAAAATGAATTAAAAAATAATTACTTACTGTAACTCATTTAATGTTCAAACTATTATTTGATTACTAACTAAACTTTAGGCTTAAAAAAATAAATTAAACCTTATTTTTAGTGCAATGATAAAGTGATATCTCTAAATTAACTCTGGGTTCATCACTGATTTAGTGATTTTATTAACTAATCACAGAAAAAAAGCACAATCTGGACCCTGATAGTACAAAAAATGTTATGTTTTACTCAGCAAAACTATGCACCACCTATAAGAAACAGAAATATTTTTTAAAAATATTGAATATTAAATTGATTTACTTACGTACTTTTTTATTTGTACATTGAAGTTTGTATAAAAATCTTTTTTTTTATCAAGATTTTTAAAGGTTTTTAAAAAATAATAATAATATTTTCAAGGTTTTTATACCTATACTATCAATAATGCCATTTATGGGAAGTAATATTTTTTCATGATTTAATTTTCATTATCTTCTTTTCAGAAAGATGAAGTTTATTTGAATCTTGTTATGGATTATATGCCTGAGACTGTATATAGAGTTGCAAGACACTATACAAAAAACAGACAAACTATTCCAATAATATATATAAAGGTGAGATTATTACTACTACTGGTTTTATAATTTTCAAGTTGTTGTTAGCTTTAAAATAAATTTTTTAAAGATTAATTTTTAATATAGTTTTTGTTGAAGATATTTGCTCTATAAGGCATCCTTAAATGAGAGGTTATTCCTCCCTATTAGATCTTGTTAATTTAATTGAACGGAGTTATTTAAGAAACTTTTTGTCGTTTTGAAGAATTTTCTGTCTAAGAAAGAATCACGAAGCTGGTGTTTTAGTGTCTGGTGTTATCTTAACAGCTAGAGAACAATTTAAAAACATAATGTGAGATATTGGTAATATTGAGTGTTTCTAATAGGGTGTGTCAGGGAATGTTAAGGTGGTTTTGGGATGTAAAGCTTAAAGATACAAATTGGTTGGCAGCATTTAGAGACATAAGAGTTCCATAAGAAAAAGGTATTACCAAATGATTGTTGTTTAAGCTTAAATATAAATAACAATTTTTTGAATATGTTCAACTTGTTTCAATTATAATAATAATCATTCATAGCAAAAACAGCAACAGTTATAAGTTATAAGTATGTATTTAAAATTTTTTGCTATTTAAAAATTATAATGGAAAATAAGGAAAACAATGATGCAATGCTGTTTTTAAACAAAAAGTTAAATAAGGTTTTCTTTTTTTGAGCTAAATTTGTGGTGAAAAAAGTTAGTTGTGGTGAAAATGTTATTGTGCACTTTTCTACAGATTTGATCGCATAGCACATTACTTGCCTATAGTTAGCAGTATTAACTATAATCTTTGGGATGCTTTTGAAAAGAAAAGGAGGAAATTAAAAGGTTGCAAATTGCAATATTTGGAAATATTTCTAGTTTTAAATTTTTAAGTATTTTGATTACTATGAACTCTATTATTAAAGTACTAGCTGATATGACCTGTAAAAATACGGATCTTTGTAAGTCTATTCCACGCTGACCTTATATATATATATCCTAGCTTTCGAGACCCATAAAATACGGGTCTTTACCAAATCTACATTTTTTATGCTTATCTATTCCGCACCAATTATTTCTACACCTGTGATTTGTTTACTTCAATATTTTTACATAAAATATTCATTTTGAAAAATTGTTTTAAAAGAAAAAAAAATTAACATGCACATCCTTTCAGCATACCTAGAGCTTATAAGAGATTTATAATTAGGTTTGTTTTTCTCCTAAACACATATCTTCTTTTAAAAAATTTAGCGTTGCATAATTTATGGGCAATCCCTTATTTAAAAGTTTAGATCAGTTTTATTTAAAAGTTTAGATCAGAGGGATCAGTTAAAAAGTATATAAAGCCAAAAAATAATGGAGTATAATACTATTATGATGGTTATCATCATAAATTCTGTCGTTGCGTACTCGGTTAAGAATGTCTAACAGGGGCGTGGTAAAATTTCTTTATTTTATTGATGTTAAATAACTTTAACTTTTAGTTATTTTTAAAAGTGTTTAATTTAAAATAATGGTTTAATTTAAGTATAAAATTAAAATTTTTAATTATGTTTTTATATAAAACGTACTTTTTAAACCCCCTTACTGTTTAAAAAAAAGTTAAGGTCGCCACATAGCAGGTTCAAATCATCAGCTTGCTTTATTTTTTAATTTTTGTTATTTAAAATGCAAAACAAAACAACTTTACACTTCGATAGATTTTATATTCTATATATTACCATGTTGTAAACTCATTTTTCTTGCACAAACTCAACTTAGTTGTAAAAAAACTTGAAATTAAAAAAAACAACAACATAAGTATCTCAATTATCTCAATCGTTTTTTAATGTTTTCAGAATTTTTAGCTTTTTAAAAAATCTTTGCGTTTGTTAAAGTATATAATATTGTTAGATATGTTTGTTTATAATCTTTATAAAACTTCACAAGTAATTTGTAATTAATCTAAAAAAATTAAAAAAAAAAGGTTGGCGGTGGTTGGATTTGAATCACAGCTTTTTTGTTCAGAATTTCAGTATGCTAACCACTCAGCCATGCTGGCACGTTGACGATTGAAATTTTAAAACTATATGATAATTTTTTCTAACGAAAATTAATGCTGCAGATCAAAAATTAAGAAGAGGTTGATGCAATGCAATTTTCAAGCAAAAAAAAAAAACTGTATAACTTGATATATGTTTTAGTATGTTTTAACAATTCATAATTTGAAATTTACATACGTTAGATATTTGCAGGGGCGTGCTGGCTCCAAAAAGCACAGGCAGGATTTTTTCAAAAAGGCCCACATATGCAGGATTTTTCCAAATATGCTTGATTTAAAGGACCACATTTGTATATATATTTAAATATATATGTATATATATATATATATATATATATATATATATATATATATATATATATATATATATATATATATATATATATATATATATATATATATATACATATATATATATACATATATATATATACATATATATATATACATATATATATATATATATATATATATATATATATATATATACATATATATATATATATATACATATATATATACATATATATATATATATATATATATATATATATATATATATATATATATATATATATATATATACATATATATATATATATACATATATATATATATATATATATATATATATATATATATATATGCATATATATATATATATACATATATATATATATATATATATATATATATATATATACATATACATATATATATATATATATATATATATATATATATATATATATATATATATATATATATATATATATATATATATATATATATATATATATATATATATATATATATATATATATATATATATATATATATATACTCTTGCATGTCTCTTGCGTGGCATAAAAAAATGTTTCCCATAAACTGTAGTTTTAGAGATCGCGTTAATAAACCAGACCAGAAAAAGTTTTAAAAATTAATTTTTTTTTTCAATTGATAGACTGCCTGGCCAAACCAAACCCTCAGTCGATGTAGCAGCACTCCCTTGCGAGTCAGGCTATTTGTCAGTCGTTGTAGCAGCACTCCCTTGCGAGTCAGGCTATTTGTCAGTCGATGTAGCAGCATTCCGTTGCGAGTCAGGCTATTTGTCAGTCGATGTAGCAGCACTCCATTGCGAGTCAGGCTATTTGTCAGTCGATGTAGCAGCACTCCGTTGCGAGTCAGGCTATTTGTCAGTCGATGTAGCAGCACTCCGTTGCGAGTCAGGCTATAAGATAGTCGATGTAGCAACATTTACGCATGTTTTAAAAATGTTTTTTATTAAATCAATAACAAAAACACCACTAATTAAAAAAAACTTTCTAGTCGTTATAATTGCGATTTTTTAAAAATATGTTAAAAAACAATTAAATTTAATGTACTTCCGCATAAATTAATTACTTTGACATTTCAATGACAATCAAAAACAGCTTAAGAGACGAGGTAATTAAAATTGTAGTCGTAAGAGACTTTTTTTACATTAAAATGCTCTGTAAGCTACACTATATGGGTATATATATATATATATATATATATATATATATATATATATAATATATATATATATATATATATATATATATATACATATACATATACATATACATATATATATATATATATATATATATATATATATATATATATATATATATATATATATATATATATATCAGGCCTTGTTACGAGATTTCGCTGCGTAACCTAATAAAAGTAGCTTTACTCAATAAAGATTTTTACATTGTTAAAAGTTTAATTACATCAGTTGCGTTTTTTTAAATACCTCATTGTAATTAAATTTAAAAATTAAATTTAAAGCGACATTAAAAATTATTGTAAGTCTTTGAAATGAAATAGCTTTAAATTAAAAAATATTGTTATTAAAAAAAATAATAAAGTTTAAATGTTAATTTAGAAAAAGTTTTCTTATATTAAAATCTTATACTTATTTAAACTTAATTTTCTTGCTTTAAAACATTCGTTTTATGGGTTGTTGTTTTTTTTAAATAAGGGGACACTTATTTACGGTTGATTTTCGTAAAGGGATTTATATTTACTTACAACTAAAAGCGTATATTGGGTTTTCTTCTTAAAAAACAAAAAAACGTTTGCACTAACTGGTTTTGATAACATAATTATTGTAATGAAATGAAAATTACCACTTTTCGGCTTTGTTTTTTTTTTATTCCCATTAAAATATTTTATTTTTATGTACGGTGAAACCTAATGTATTTTTACTATTTTTTACTCAATCCAAAAAGAAAAATAGTATTTTTGGTTTTGAGAACTTATTGGCAGAATTTGTTTTTAACAAACATCATTATAATTTTGAAATTTACATATGTTATGTTTATAACACTAGTATTAGTTTTGTTTTTAAAATAAAGTAAATATAAGTTGGGCTTTTAAAGAGTCTATTTACTAAACGCGTTATTTTTAATCGGTTTGAATTTTGGTTCGTTTTATAAAAAAAATTCTTCTACAAAAAATTTAATGGCTAAGGGAAAACCCAAACATAACATTTATAACTCGAGTTTAAAAGAATGTTTTTGTATTGATGTCATTTATTAACTTGTAGTTATAAATGAATAATACGCTTTTGTAAATAATGAATGAAACTGAATAATGCGCATTATTCAGACCAGTATTTGGAATTGGAACTTACTTGAAACTTAACTGAAATTAAAATAAAATTATATGTAATACGAACATTTTAAAGTCACTTGAATTAAGTTTATTAAATCTTTTTTTTTACTTTGGAAATTATATCATTAAAAGAAATTGTAAAACAAAGCGTTTTAAAATTTTTAAAAGAATTTTAATTAAATTTAATAAATTTATTTACTAAAATATGATTAATAAAAAAAATATTTAAATTTAATAAAATGAATTAAATATACATTTAAAAAAAAAAAGGAAAATAGACAAAAGTTTATCTATCTGTTTTTTTATCTAATAAAAAAAATATTCCACAAATGTTTTTTTACAACAATTAATTACAGCTTAATTTTTTCTGCATAAACTGTTTTAAAAGACAGAACTAATTGAAAAAGGCTATTGCATAACATAAATATGGAAATGCGTATGTAAAATTGTGAATACTTCACCCGAAATTGCGAAATCGCATGTTACATGTGAATTAATGTTTTTAAACTTATGAAATATAAAACTTAATATTAAATATGATAAAAAGTTTAAACTTAAAACACTTTATTTGCATTTTATCTAGTGAGTTTCCTAAGTAAACAAAATAATGGCGGTTATATTTTAGTAATACGGCTAAATAACTGTACCATTATTTAGTCGTATTATTAAAATATATATATATATATAATATATATACATATATATATATATATATATATATATATAATATATATATATATATATATATATATATATATATATATATATATATATATATATATATATATATATATATATATATATATATATATATATATATTAATAGTTATTAAATTATTTTAATAACTATTAATTCAAAGAATGAGAGATTATAAATATTTGTAAATCTTTGTTCGCTAAAAAAAACTGTGCTATATGGAAAACCCTGAGTCGTAAAGAAGTGATGAAAAATGATTTATAAAGTACGAGAGGAAGTGTTAATAAGCGTTACAAAAACAATGGTACAGCATTTTTTTTTTTTTTTTATGTGCTATAAGAAGTCCTTACGGTCTTATCAATTTCAAGTTCAAATCGAATGTATACAATATTTAAGATTTTCTATTCTATGTCAAATCTTAAAAAAAAAGAAGAAGAAGCTATAATTACAACACACGGATTGTACGACTATGTTCTTTAAAAAAAAAAAGCGGTTACTAATGTTTATAATGTTAAATATTAGTTTCAATGTATTTGAAATGAATGAATCCGGAAAACTTTCAAATTGAAATAAAATGCTTAATTTATTTATTCGTATATAAAGAAAAAATGAACTATTTTTTAAATAGCAGTAGTAAATACAAATTTTATATTTAAAAATGTTATGATTTTTGTTTATAAAAAAACAATTAATTGTTTTAAATTAACAAAAATATTATCAATATGAATTATTTTCCAGAATTTAAAATTGAACACAATTATTATCAAAACAATTTACCTGCCATGCATTGATAAGTATAACTACAAAAATCAGGAAAGTTCTCGCTACTGGTCATTTTGTTTATGGTATTTTTATAGATTTACAAAAAGCTTTTGATACCATTGATCACAAAATTTTGATTTCTAAATTAAAACACTATGGTATTCGTGGTATTGTAAGTGACTGGTTTCTCTCTTATTTTACAGATCGGAAACAATTTGTGATCTTATTTTACAGATCGGAAACAATTTTTTAACAAATTAATGGTTATAATTCTACTAATAAATCTGTTGAGTGTCGTGTTCTTCAAGGTTCTGTTCTTGGACCTCTTTTGTTCTTAATTTATGTTACGACATAAACGATTCTAGTCGCTTCTTGTCAATTTTTTTTTGCTGATGACACAAATCTATTGCATATCAACAAATCATATAATTCTCTATGTAAAAACATAAATTCGGATCTAAAAGGTATTGTTCACTGGTTAAATGCTAACCTAATATATCTTAACATAAAAAAAACTGAACTAATCTTTTTTTCATCTAGAAAAAAACACAATATAAACAACAATTCTAAAATTCAAATTAAAATTAATAATAACTGGTTATATCCTACTAAAGTTATTAAATATCTTGGTGTTTTGATTGACTGCAATCTCTTGTGGAATTTTCATATTGATGAGCTATACAAGAAACTAATTTGAACTAACAGGGCACTTTCAATATTTTGTCATTATGTTGATAAAATATACATATTCTACTAGAAACATATAAAATGGAAAACTTAGTGTGCCATCATTTAAAACTCAGATGTATGATAAACATTCTGTTGTCTATCGGTGCAATTGTGAATGGAACAAGAAACTAGTATGCATAGTGAATGAGTTCAAAAAACTACAACTTCAAACATTTCTTAATGTAAAACAAAATCAATTTAAAAAAATTTTAAAAACAATTTTATTCTAACTTATTGACATGATTTTTACTTAATATTTAAAATATACTCTTATTTTTTTAATTATGATTACTGCAACTATTATCATTAACTTCTTGTTTGTTTATTTTTATTATTATCATTAAAGTATGATTTTTAAATGTTTACTTTGTTTATGTATGTTCTATGTGTGTATGCTTATTATTAACCATACTATATTTGTGTCACTCCTTTGATCAGAATTATGTTTGAGTGACTCCATCCTTATAAATCATTTAGTTATTATTATTAAATACTTATAATTAATTTATTCATTATTATATTATTATATATTCTCATAATTATCATTGGCTAACTTAAATAATTTTATCTATATAATGACTGATATAATAAGCGATTTAAGTGACGTAACAATCAATTATTTTTTCTAATATCGACTTTGTTTTGAAGCAAAAATTATAAAAGGTTGCATTTTATTATGCAAAGTACTAATATATATGGGCTTGAAGTCCAACAATTTGAATCAGAGATTTGTTAAAGAATTTAACTTGTGGAATAAAAAATAAAGCAAATAAATATCATTTGTGAATCATTTTCAGAATGTAGTTAAGGGTATAAAAATTCACTTCTAGGATAAATAGCAATAGGCCCAAGCGAGTTTCCCGCATAGCCTCTAGGGCCAGCATGCCACTGGATATTTGCATACACTTTCATTCACCTTTTCTTATAAAACAAAGCTGCTGCAACTCTTTCTTGCCATTACCTCTCTTGCATTGGCTGCCAAGAGTTTTGTGTCAAACAGGCTTGAAAGGGCGCTACTACTACTATTACTACTATTAAGTTCAGTATTATTAATTAGATTAAATAATAGTTTTTTGATAAAAATATATATGCTCTTATCTAAAAACTATAATCTAAGGGTTTGTTTAATGAACAATCATCAGAAAAATACACCAAGTACAGGGAAATACACCAAGTACAGGGATCAAATTAAGTGAATTGTAATTGTTTTCCGCACCTTCGCAATCATAACCAATAAATCTTTTTATATAATTCAATTTTTATGAATGCTAACATAAAAAAACCATTATTAATAGCCAACATTAAGTTCAGTGTTGATTTCAAAGCATGTTATTCATTACATGTCATATAGTTAGATTTTCAAAAATATCGACCTATTTAATCTAAGAGAACATCTGCTAAAAAGTGAAGCGAATTTTCAGATATCCTATTGAGGTCTATTTTTTGACCAATATTATAGATTTTTATTTCCAACTGATTATAGGTGATGTTCATTTGAGCCTACCTGTTTTAAACTATTTTTACTTGCTTTTTTAATTTTATTTTATTTACAAAGTAGTACAGTGGAATAGGGTTAAAAAAATCTAAATCCATAAATATGAAATGCTTTATCCTAATGTGAAATAAATCCATTAAAATGTTCTTGAATTAGAGTCACTCCTGGCTGTGCCATGGCTGGCTCAAATTTAAATCTTAAAAATATATACAAAATACATACCCAAAAAGAAGTAGATATAAAGTGAATCAAAAAAGAGTTGGTCACAAATTCAGTAGGTTGAAAGTTCATTAGGTTGAAAATAAAGTAGTTAGACAATTCAGTATATTGAAAAATTATTAGTACATGTTTTAATTAGGTGTAAATATATAAATCAAAAGTTGTTGGTTGAAACTCAAGTTTGTCATAATCTACAAATTATAAAATTTCAAAATTAGATTGAGTTGTAGGCCACCATTCATAATACTCTAATCAGCCATGGTTTACTTAAAATGGCCACAAAAGACACTGAATTCAATATGAAGAAAGTTTAATATTGCATACTACATGGCAAAACAAGTGTCCCTTCACAGATTATCCTTATTTAATTGCATTAGAGAAAAAAGAAAATAGGGTCAATTATTTGGGAAGTTCCCATTATGGTTCTGACAATGCAGCTACGATATTTACAGACATTAAAAAAATATTTATTAAAATTACATTAAAAAATATAATACATTACATTAAAAAAAATGTTCAAAAATTTGTCACCATCATTTTTGCTAAAAAAAATGTTTATGTCGTCAAAATTTTTTTGTCCTTGTAAATCTGTTTTGTAAAATTTTCCTATGAAAACTAAAGCCGTGCATGTGTCTTTCTTTGAATCAATACTAATTTAATATTTTTAAGCTTGATATTTTATATTGTACATTATAACTCTTTTCTTAATTAACTTGTTGATTATAATTACAAGTGAATGACATGGTTTAGATTTGAGCGGACATGGCACAGTGGTTAAAGCTCTTGCTTAAGAAGTAAGAGATTCAGGGTTTGAAGTGAGCTCTGGACATATTTTGTGCCATCTTTAAAAAGGAGGCATGAACTTCCTAGTTCTAAATGCTCTTCTGTGATGCTCTGTGACAAGACCGTTAGGTCTTTTGGCACATAAAACAAAAAAATTTTTAAAAAAGATGATTTTAATGTCAGCAATTGTGTCAAACATTTAGATTACAGTATGCATTAGAAAATTTGTTTATTTTTATTTTTTAGTTATATGTTTATCAGTTGTTCCGCGCTTTAGCTTACATACATTCTCTTGGTGTCTGTCATAGAGATATAAAACCTCAAAATTTATTGCTTAATCCAGATTCAGGCGTTCTCCAGTTATGTGACTTTGGAAGGTAAATTTTTATTTTTGTTTAAATCTTGTTATTTCTCTGCATCAGTTAAATGATTTATATCCTTTTTTGTAGTGCAAAAGTTTTAATACCTGGAGAGCCTAATGTAGCATATATTTGTTCAAGATATTACAGAGCACCAGAGCTTATCTTTGGAGCCACTGATTATACAGTAAATATAGGTAAATATCTACATATTTAACATTTTTAAACAGGACAATTTAGTAATAAATACTGCTATTGATGTATGTTGTAAATATCTATATATTTAACGTATTTAAACAGGACAATTTAGTAATGAATACTGCTATTGATGTATGTTGTAAATAGAAATTAAATGTTAAATAATGAATTTATACAAAGAAAAATACACTTTTTTTTTTTTAATTTTTTTTTTTATTATTTTTTTTTATTTTTTGAATCTCGCCATTATTTGGTTTTTTAATATTCAAATAGCTATATAATTATTAAATAATAAGATTTTATTGACAATATCTTTTAAAGTATAAACAAATTAATTTAAAATTATTCAAAAAGAAACTTTTTATATTAATAAAAAGTTTAATTTTTGTTTGTTTTATTTTTTGTTTTAGTATACTTAATTAATTTTTAGTTTGTTTTTTTTAATTTCAATAATTAAGAAAGACTTTTCTTAATTTTTTTTTTAGTACCACACTTATCTTTTTTTGTGTAGCGCCCTCGTTCATCAATGCTTGTGTTTCCCATTTTAGAGTTGAGTGGGTGTTGTAATTACAAACAAACAAACAAAAAAAAAATCAAAACTTTGAAAGAAAAAAAAAGTAACCTATTCGAATGTAGTGGCCCTTTTGGCCTTAGGGAGGTGAATTAAGTCAATAAAAAAATATACTCGTTGAAATAAAAACTTTAAGTATTCATTTTGGTTTTTTTTTAAACAAATAGAAATTTACACAAAATACAGAATCAATATAATAGTTGATATGGTAGCATATAAATTAAAATAAATAAAAAGAGATGGTAGGTTTTATAGTTACTTTAGAGGTGATAAAAAAATTTAAAAATTTCTTATATATAATTGATGGAGAAATAATTCCATGAATCTCTGCTAAAAAGTTCATTATAAAAAAGGAACTTTTTAGCAGAGATTCATTTCAAAAGAATCTTTGTGTAGCTTGATGTCAAAACAGGATTATGGGTTTCTATCCTGAATTGAAAAATGTTCAATAGAAACTGAATGCGATAAAAAGGCATTTGGTGGATTGAATTATATTTTTTAAGTTAAAAAATATATTTCAATCCACCAAATGAAAAATAATAATGAATAAATTAATTATAAGTATATATATATATATATATATATATATATATATATATATATATATATATATATATATATATATATATATATATATATATATATATATATATATATATTCCTAAAAGTTAAGTAAGCTTTATTGTAATTTAAACTCTTTATTCTACTTTATTCTACTTTATTGTAATTAAAAGCAAATCATTTTAAAAGTAAATTTCCATTTAAAAGTTTTTAAATTTTAATTAGTTTTATTAGTTGAGTACAAAAAAAGTCTGTACGCACACACCTTTAGCATAATAAAAATTAAGTATTGATATAATTCTTTTAAAAAAACTTTTTATAAATGACTTTTAAGAAATTTTGTGTGCATTTATTGGATACTTTACAATAAAATATATTTAATTATTATTGTAAATAAAATTTTATTTACAATAAAATTTTGCGTGCATTTATTGGATACTTTACAAGGTTTTGTTAACATAGTAATAAAACAATCAATCAAATTTAATTTTCTGTTTTTAAATTTTATTTAAATTTATTCTATTTGTAAATAACTTATATAAATAAATTTATTACAGGATTTAGCTATAGAAATATTATGTTTTAAATATACATAAATGATCTTATGCAAATTACACAAAATTTAAGAATTTCAAGTTATTTTTTTACTAAAAAACTATATATTAATTCTAAACTATAAAATATTCAAAAACTTAATTGAAAATTTACTTACTAAAATAAAGGAAATTTAGCAAACACTGTCTTTATTTTTAACAACTGCATTTAGCCCAGCCATTTTCAACAGCTGCTTTTGAGCAATCTTAGCTGTTCCTATTCTTTCTTTTTTTTCTTTAGAATTAAGGTTATTATGTTAGTTCATTAAGGTTGTTTGGCAGGTAAGCGTCTAGTGGAATTTTATTGGGATTGAATGAAAATATGCTACAGATATAAATTTCTAATTTCTGGCATAATATTTCTTTCTTATGCTGTTCTAAACTTAAACAAAAAGATCAAAATTTCTATTTCAAAACCAAACAGACATTGTTTAAAATTGAACCTGTCATTTCGAAAAGGACACAAGTCCAAACATTTTAATAGTTAGTTTATAAATTTAAATTAAAAATTTCTGTAAGATTTTTTTTTTTTTTTTCTATAAAAAATAAAAGTTACATAAGTTATATACGTTCTTTATCTATCTACTTCTATGTTTAATTTCTTTACTAGCATAGACATTATTTTAATAAAAATCATGTTTTTGTTGATTTAACAAAAATTTTAATAAATGGACTTGTGCCCTTTTCGAAATGACAGGTTCAATTCAACAAATTGATGATGATGATATTGATAATGATGATGTGATGTTGATGAGGATGTTGATGATAATGATGATGTGATGACGATGAGGATGTTAATGATAATGATGATGTGATGACAATGAGGATGTTGATGATAATGATGATATAGAAACTAGTGGATGATGATTTGTGCGGTTTATGAAACTAGTGGATGATGATTTATGGTTTCTGTATTGGTATGATTTGTGCGGTTTATAGAAACTAGTGGATGATGATTTATGGTTTCTGTATTGGTATGAGTCTGTGTTTAGTAATGTTTAATCTAATCAGAGGATATATATATATATATATATATATATATATATATATATATATATATATATATATATATATATATATATATATATATATATACAGGGTGTTCGGGATAAATTTGACATATTTATAATTGATTATATTTTTTTGTAGATTAGAGGTATTAACACACACTACAGGTCATTTAAAAGTTTGAACCCTTCTTCATTCATATACAAGATGTCAGAAAGGATGGATGACTGGAACCCACCTGAATCATGGAAGAGAATAACTTGCATCATGATGATTCGTGCCGGCCATCAAAATAAGGATATTATGACTGCTGCCCAATGCTCCCTGAACACAGTAAAAACAATCAGGTATGAACTAGAGACTTGCAATGGTGACTACGAGGATGTAGTAAGAAGAAAGATCCCTAGCAGACGATCTGATTGCGTTCGTACAGCAGAATTCCTCGCAAGTCTGCAGGAACAGGTGTTGAAGAACCCTGGCATTGGAATTCGGGCTTTGTCACGTGAAATGAATGTTACATCCTCTACTATGAAGCTTGCACTCAATGAAGACCTTCGCTACTACTCATACAAGCGCCACAAAGGTCAGCTACTCACAGAAAAGGCCCGTAAAAAACGTTTGATAAACGTGAAGAAACTTCTAAACAAAGTGAAACATCCTCTAGAACCACAAACAATCTGGTTTTTTTCCGATGAGAAAAACTTTTGCCAGGATCAAAAACACAACACGCAGAATATGTCCTTTGTACTGCTTGCAACACGAGGTATGTCCATTGTACTGCTTGCATGCAGTACAAAGGACATACCTCGTGTAATGCAGACTAAATTTCCCCAAACTGTGATGGTTTTCGGATGTGTATCCTCTGAAGGCGATGTGATGGCTCCGCATTTTTTCTAAGAGGGCCTTAGGTTGACTTCAGATGGCTACGCGGAGTTGCTGAACACTGTAGTCAAGCCCTGGATAACAAGGGTAGCCAATTGTAGGCCGTATGTATGGCAGCAGGATTCGGCCCCTTGCCATACCTCTGTGAAAAGTCAAAAATGGTTGTCTGAAAATTTCTACGACTTCACCAGTCCAAATGTTTGGCCTCTAAACTCGCCAGACCTTAACCCCATGGATTATTTTGTATGGGGCGCAGTTGAAAAAGACACTAATTGCACTTCCAGTAATACAAAAGCCCAGTTAGTGGATAAAATTAAAACAGTTTTTGAGGCCCTTCCCAGGGAGACTGTAGCATTAGCTTGTTCGAAATTCCGAAGCAGGATTGAAGCAGTGATCGATGCTAATGGTGGTTATTTTGAGTGAATTTTGTTCATAGCATTGTAATTTACTATGCCTGTAATTTTTTTTGTCAACTCATTAAATTTAATGGATACAAAGAAGATTTTTCTTTTTCTTTTGAAACTGTCAAATTTATCCCCAACACCCTGTATATATATATATGTATGTATGTATATATATATATATATATATATATATATATATATATATATATATATATATATATATATATATATATATATATATATATATATATATATATATATATATATATATATATATATATATATATATGTATATATATATATATATATATATATATATATATATATATATATATATATATATATATATATATATATAATCATTGACACTAGAGCCATTCAGTATGATGAGCATTAAAGTCATAAAAAAACAGTATTTGCAAATGGATAAAGAATTAGGACTGGGTTAATTTGTTTAGAAGCAACATCAAAAAGCGCACGCTTTTATGAAAGGAGATAATTAAAAACAAAATGGTTTCACAATAAGAAATAACATTAAAAAAAATAGTTAGGCTTTGGTTCAAATCAGACTTTATAACAAAATCTATGTGACTAAAGGAGTTTTTACAAATCAAAGGGTTATATCTATCAGCATGCGATCCAAATATAATTTTATTAACATTAAAATTTAGCTCTTAACATTATTTGGGTTATAAAATAAAAAAATTGTTTTTTTAATTTGTTTTAGATACTTGGTCAGCCGGTTGTGTCTTGGCTGAGTTGTTACTAGGCCAACCTATTTTTCCTGGTGATAGTGGTGTTGATCAATTAGTCGAAATTATCAAAGTTCTTGGTACTCCCACCAGAGAACAGATTCGTGAAATGAATCAACATTATACAGAATTCCGTTTTCCTCAAATAAAACCCCATCCTTGGTCTCGGGTTAGATGTTAATTTTTTGAATTTTTATTTGTAGTTTTTTTGTAATTTTGTTTGTAATCACTATTTTTAGTTATTTTTTATTATTATTTTTTATTGATTTTTGTTTATTAGATATTGATACAAAGTTTATATCTTGAATTTTATTTAAAACAAAGGTTTTTCGTGCAAAAACGCCAAGCGATGCTATTAGCTTGACTTCGCAATTATTGGAGTACACTCCAAGCAGTCGGTGTTCTCCATTAGAAGCCTGTGCTCATCCTTTTTTTGACGAATTGCGCGTTGAAGGAGTACGATTACCAAATAACAAAGAAATGCCTAAACTGTTTAACTTTTCGGCGCAAGGTTAGAGAATATCTGTTTTTTCCTAAATCTTCTACTTAATTTTTTTTTTTTTTTTTTTTTTTTTTGTAATTTGAACTATTTTTTTTGTAGAATTATCTTCAAAACCGAGTTTACAGTCCATACTTATTCCCGACTTTGTAAAAAAACATCAGAGTAGCACAAGTCTGGCAAGCTCCTCTTCTACCATTTCTAATCAAGTAAATACTACGGACTCAAATAAGACATCAATCAATATTTCAACAGAAGCTTCTTAATTTTTTTATTAAATTATAAAATGAATTGGCAGAGCGTTTGTGGTACCTGTAAATTAGAGCCGCCTAACGATTTCTGTCATGTTAATATATTTGTTTTTATGTTTGGATGCCGAACAGGGATTTGCAATGTTTTAATAAGATTATTGTATAAGATGGATACGCGCTGTGGATATTTAATATTTTTTAATCGTCGTTGTAATGTGTAAACCTCTTCTTTTTTTTGTACTCGAAATCCTTATTTATTTTTCTTCAATTTTGTTACAAATAATTTTAATTTATTTTAAAGTCTGCCCTCAAGGCTTTAATGACGACAATAAACGCAATCAGTATTTGTGTGTCTGTTTTCTCATCAGCTAACCGAAACCAATCGTTTAGGGTTTGCTTCATAAGATCGATTAGTTTCTTTAAAGAATTTTAAAATTTTTTCTACCAATTAAAAATCTTGAACTGGATGGTGGAAGAAAATAAAAGTTATTTATCGGTCTCAGCGAATTTTTTTTTGTGTTTGTTTTAATATGGTGTTTTGTTTTACTTTTTATTACTGTTGTCGACTCAGTTCAACTTAATATGCTGAGCCTAAACGCATGGTTTCATTTGAAATTGATTTTTATCGCCGCTTTTGTTTTTAATAAATTAAAGATTTCTTAAATTTGCTTTGTAAATTGTTTCGCTCAGATCTTTTCTCTAAAGGTTTTTGGCTTTAAAAACATGAATGTTTTTAGTTTATCTGAAATGAAATTGTTGTATATAAGTATGATATAAAGAAACGTTTAAAATATTTTCTCGTACTTTTTTAAATAAAATTACAATTTTATGAGTCCACAACACAAGTCCAAAAGTAGATTGATTATAAAATTGGACCACCCTTAAATAAGCACCGGTGTAGCACGCGATTTTTACTCCCGCGTTTTTTTACTCCCCAGTAAAAGTCAAATTAAATTTTTATTCCCCAATAAAAACCGCATTAGAAATTTTTACTCCCCAGTAAAAAGCTCATTAAATTTTTACTCCCATAAAATTTTTTGCAGTAAAATGTATTTTACAACTGATGTATTTTGACAACGTTTTAAAGGTTGTGGCTTTTGAAAAGCAGTAAAGAAGCAATTTATTAAGACATGGTAATTTGTGATAATAAGTTGCCTGAAGATGCAATCAGGCGTTCCAAGGAGGCGTCTAGCCTTTACTAAATTTACTAGTCGACATAATGGAGTTGGAATAATCGGATATAAAGTTGGCATTGGGTAAATGTCAGCTGACGAGGACTTTTTTTTTTTTTTTTTTAAAAAAAATTGTTTGCTAAAAAGTTTTTCTTGGCCTTAGTTGGCAAAAAGCAGACACGACCCCCCCCCCCCATCCTTTTTTTTTTAAAATCTCATCGGGACGGCCCTGGATGCGAACTAGGGAACTGACGAGAACATAACAAAGTGTGCTTTATTTATGATAGGTAGATATATATATATATATATATATATATATATATATATATATATATATATATATATATATATATATATATGTATATATATATATATATATATATATATATAAAGAAAGAGAGAGAGTAATTATGGAACCAAAAAAAAATAATAATAATTGAAATTAAACAACAATATTTATAATTCGTGAAATAAATACATAAGTAAATGCACTAGATTTTCAACTGTTAATCACAGCATCCAAGTGGATTCCAGCGGAGTTGTCTAAAAATATAGAGTAACCAACTTATTAAGCCGTAAACTGCATGGGCTAGTCATCGGTTTTGTTTTCGCTCAATATTTGCATGGATATCTACCTCAATAAATGAAGCGCATCCAATTATCTCAATCATCTTCAAGCATTTTTGTTTTACAAATATGTGTTCGAATTGGCATACTCAAATATCCAGCTATTTCATTCTGTATTTTGTTACACATATGGTTAACAACTTTGTTTTTAATTGGGTAATGTTTATCTTCAGATCCAGTTATAATAAAAGAAACTGTCTAAAAAAAGCAGTTTCCATCTCCTTTAATTCTATGGATTCTCGTAGGACAAAGAGTTAGGTCAATGTTTCCACCGCAATATTGTGTCTTCTAACAATTCCAAACTTTTCTGCAATTTATTTTCTCATAACAAAAGTTCCACATTTTGCTATTTCTTCATTCAAAACATTTATACTGCTTTCATGTTGAGTACTATCGTACGTGTTCCTTGATTTGACGGCTTTGTTAATTGGTCCAGTTTTGACATTACTACCATTTGATAATTTTAAAAATATATATGCTACTGCATTAATAGATTACAAATGTTTCAATAATTTTTTTTAAATACTCGCTTCTTTATTGCTTTTCAAAAAACCGCAGTAATTAAAACCATTAAAAGTATTCACAAAATACTACGTGGTTTGGTTGCAAAAATACATTTTGCCGCACAAAATTTTATGGGAGTAAAAATCTCTAAATGGGAGTAAAAATTTAATATGAGATTTTTACTGGGGATTTAAAAAAATGCAAGATTAAAAATCTCATACTACACCGGCATATTGTGTTTAAATAAATTTTCGTTAAGTGAATATAATTCGCCTAATAAATAGTGCTATTTACCCATCTAATGCAAATTCTGGCATTTTTCTAATTTTAAATAGATAATTTGAAATTTTAAAAGTTGTTTTAAAATTGTATGTCTGACTGAAACTTTGTGTAAATGCGCGGCGAAACAAATTGCGAATTTGAACTAATTAATTAAACATCAATTCATTAATTAAACATCATCGGAAAGGTTGCGTAAGTTAAGCATGTTTTCGGTGTAATGTAATTTCGGAGAATAACTTTAAAAAAACACGCTTTTCTTAACAAAAAAGCCTTATCTCATCTTAAGCCGTCTAAAAACGTATCATCTTAAGCAACTTCTTTAAGTACTATCATAATTTAAATAGCATGACAACAGCTTATGTTTTATTTCAAGTAACCCATGGAATTAGTAGTAGATAAGCATAAAATATTGAGGGTGTAATAAATTTTTGATGATCTTATTTTGTTCTGACGTAATTACAAAATATTGAATAATAAAAAATTATAACAGGGGTGGTAAATTTTTTTAACAGTAAAACAATCAAAGAATATTAACTAAACAACCAAGAAATTAAAGTAAATAACACCGTCGAACTTCTATGAATATCCTTAATCAATAAAGTTCGCGAAAATACCATTAGTCTACCCGTAAAAGATGTTTTTATGACAGAAAAACAACAACAAAACTTTAAGCTACAAAATGTTATTGCTCACACACACTCACATATATATAATATATATATATATATATATAATATATATATATATATATATAATATATATATATATATATATATATATATATATATATATATATATATATATATATATATATATATATATATATATATATATATATATATATATATATATATATATATATATAATTCAGAAACTGATTTGACTGTCTTTGGTTATCATGATGATAATCCTAAAATAGTACCAGGTCGTCGTCTGCTCCTACATTGAGGAAAAACTAGGAAATGAACACATATATTTGTGTTACCCAAAAATTAGATTAATTTAACAAAAGTTTAAGACCAGGGAATTCGAGTATACAAGAGGTTGATAAAACCCACAGTCAAATAGAGCACTTGCTTCTGTTGAAATGTTTAGTCCCCTTGGTTTAATCAGAGCGATTTCTGCTCTTCAAAAAAAAAAAGATTTTTTTGTCTACCAAATGAAGAAATTGAATTTCAAACATTTTTTAGCTATTGCAGGCTTTTTTAATTTTAAGCTTGTTCCTTATATCTATATAATGCATCTACCATTCAGATCATGTATACTCCAGAAAATCAAGTTATAATGTTTTCTGCCTTGAATAAGAGTGCACAAATTTCAAATGATAAAGCCAATGTCCTTCAAAATCTGTTCAAGTATATGCCTGCTGTAAATATTGCATTTTATAAGAATATTTTAAAATAATTTATTTTATCGTCAAAATATTTATATGTTTTATATGTTATGTTGTTAAATGGACTTCTTACTGAAATAGTAAACTGGAAAGCCAAACCAGCCTTTTCGCTATATCATCCACCGCCGCACAGGTACCGTACGCTGTATTGACATAAATGAATCAAAAGATATTCCAGATGTCACTGGATAGCAGGAACACTAGACACTGGACAGCAAGGAACAAGCTGAAATTATTCGGTGGGCCTTCTGTAATAACACAACACATTACCCTACAATCCTCGATGCCACTACCTCCGCCAACGTTAGTGACACCAATCCATTCACTACTTACAAATACGGCTCAATTAAAGAGGCGTATACCTCCTAAACAATTTAAAACAAACAATTTAATATAAAAAAACTAAACGACTCTAGAATTGAGCAACTTTGGCGAATTATCAATTACTCCTCCTAGGATGTATCTATCGACTTCAAAATAGTAACAATGATACCCTCATGAAAATAATTTCTTCAATCAATGCGAAATGCAATCTCTCGAAATTAGGCTGCGCATCCATGCTCTTATACGGTGACTTTTACTTTAGCCACACAACATATGAAAAACTTGTAGTTGATGTACACTAGTTGTAGCGCATATCAACAATAAATGACTTAGTCACACTATGTTTCAACAATGCTTAGGTGTGCATTATTTAACTCAAATGATAACATTCTCAACATATCGCAACTCAAGAAACAATGCAATAGGTAATACTCTTGACCTTGTCATTACCGATTAATCAAACAGAGTTAGAGACTTTAAAAAGGATGATCCTATCGGAAACACACTTAAGTGTAAAGCTCACTTCCTAATTACTGGACATTTTGAAACTATGAATTTCGAAGTACCAGCTACTTTTCATTCACGTTATATTTGAAGCAAAGCGAACTATCAAAAAATATCAGAATATATCATGGATTACGATTGGGACAAAAACTTTACTAATCATTCAGCAAACTTTAACTACCAACTACTTGTAAACAAATATATGGAAC